AAAAAAAAAAAAAAAAAGGAGACAAGGCGGCCGGGCACGATGGCCCACGCCTGTAATCCCAACACTTTGGTAGGCCGAGGCAGGCGAATCACCTGAGGTCAGGAGTTCAAGACCAGCCTGGCCAACATGGTGAAAACCCCCGTCTCTACCAGAAATAGTAAAAAAAAAAAAAAATAGCTGGGTATAGTGGTGGGCGCCTGTAATCTCAGCTACTTGGGAGGCTGAGGCAGGAGGCAGATGTTGCCATGAGCCGAGATCATGCCATTGCACTCCAGCCTGGGCAACGAGAGTGAAACTCTGCCATCATGCTGGCCTGTTTCTGTTTGCTGTTGTTTTTATAATTTTTTAAATTTTATTTATTTATTTATTGAGACAGAGAGAGAGAGACAAGGGTCTTGCTTTGTTGCCTAGGCTGGAGTGCAGTCATGAGATCTTAGCTCACTGCAGCCTTCAGTTTCTGGGCTCCAAATGATCCTCGTGCCTCAGCCTCTTCAGTAGCTGGGACTACAGGTGAATGCCACTATACCCAGCTAATTAAAAAGAATTTTTTTTTTTTTTTGTACGGAGTCTCACTCTGTTGCCTAGGCTGGTTTTAAACTCTTGGGCTCCATTTATCCTCCTGCCTTGGCCTCCCAAAGTGTTGGGATTACAGGCGTGAGCCTCTGTGCTGGCCTACAATCTGTCTTAATGGATGAATAAAAAGTTATTTATTTATTTATTTATTTACTTATTTTCTGAGACAGAGTATCATTCTGTGGCCCAGGCTGGAGTGCAGTGACCTGATCTCAGCTCACTGCTAGCTCTGCCTCCTGGGTTCACGCCATTCTCTTGCCTCAGCCTCCCGAGTAGCTGGGACTACAGGTGCCCGCCACCACGCCCGGCTAATTTTTTTTGTATTTTTTAATAGAGGCGGGGTTTCATCGTGTTAGCCTGAATGGTCTCAATCTCCTGACCTTGTGATCCACCTGCCTTGGCCTCTCAAAAGTGCTGGGATTACAGGCGTGAGCCACCACTCTCGGCCAAAAAATTATTTTAATCTGTTTATAATTATTTTATTAGTGAAGATACTATCCTAATAACAACTCTGGCAGCAGAACTAAATTATTGACGTTACGACCTGCATTATTTTATTCTGAAAGTACGATTCATACATACCTTTTAGCTTTCTAAGTGTGGTGGCACAGAAGTCTGATTCATTTCCCAGATTGTTTAGGCTAAATATATGCTATTTAGGGCACTGTGGATCAGAATAAACACTTGTGTCTCCTGGTTTTGCCCTTCTCTGTGTTACTTAACCTCTCTCTGCCTTATTTTACTCTATTAAAAGCAGATAGTAATAGTCACTCATTATAGGGTTGTGAGGATTAAAAGCTTAGATTGGTGCCTGCTGTATACTAAGTGCTCAACAAATGTTAGGTTTGATGATTACTATTCGTGAGCTGCTATGAACTGGGAAGGTAAATAAAATGATTTATGTTTTTTACTGGCTTTTGGGCTTGACCTTTTTGTGTAGGATGCTCTTTTACATAAAAAGTAGTATTCTTCTGTAATGTCTGTAACTGAGTTATGATCAGCAGCACAATTTATTACCTGTGTATTTGGATATATCAGATGATGTAGGTAATAGTGCAGTGGTTAAGAACATGGGCTTTGGTGTTAAATAGACACAGGTTTGGATCCTGTGTCTGCAACGTACTATTGGGTGTGAACTTGTGCAAGGTAATTTCCTCATTTGTAAAAAGGGGACTCCAGCTGACCTCATACACGGTTTAAAAATCAAATGAAATAAACATGTGAAATGTTTGATACAATGCCTCACATATAAATACATATATATTTTTGAGACAGGGTCTCGCTCTGTCGCCCAAGGAATGCAGTGTCACGATCAGGGCTCACTGCAGCCTCAACTTCCTAGGCTCAAGTGATCCTCCTACTTCAACCTCTCAAGCAGCTGGGACTACAAGCTTGAGCCACCATGCCTGGCTAATTTTTTTTTTTTTTTTTTTTTGAGATGGAGCCTTGCTCTGTCGCCAGGCTGGAGTGCAGTGGCACCATCTAGGCTCACTGCAAACTCCGCCTCCCGAGTTCAAGCGATTCCCCTGCCTCAGCCTCCCTAGTGGCTGGGGCTACAGGCGCGCGCCCGGAAAATTTTGTATTTTTAGTAGAGACGGGGTTTCACCATGTTGGCCAGGATGCTCTGGATCTCCTGACCTCGTCATCCACCGGCCTCAGCCTCCCAAAGTGCTGGGATTATAGGTGTGGGCCACCGCGCCCGGCCTTTTAAAATTTTTTTTGTAGAGACAGGATCTAGTTACGTTGACCAGGCTGGTCTCCAACTCCTGGGTTCAGGTGATCTTCCCACTTTGGTCTCCCAAAGTGTTGCAATTATAGGCGTGAGCCACCGCGCCTGGCATATACATATGTGCGTGTGTGTGTGTGTGTGTGTGGGTGTGTGTGTATATACATATTCACCCTCCTCCCCCAGGCCTATAAATATTAACTTTTTTTTTTTCAAAGGCAAATCGAGGACCAAATGCCGATCCAATTGTACCTCAACTACTGATGTTATTTCTTCCACACCACATTCAAGGTCTCCCCAGGCCACGTGTAATCATGGGCACAACGTCAGAATCTTTGAGGACTGCATATCACTCAGCAACTAAAATAAACAGAACTATACCAAGACCTGTGACCTCTACTGAGACACGTTACCCTCTCCCCTTATTAACTATGTCAATTGTGGTATTAGGAATTTGCCTATGGAAACCAAAATGTCGACCTCTGGGAGTCCGAGTCTAACTCGATCACGTGACGCACCCCATCCGATCTTTTCTCGCGGTTGCATCAGCCAATTTAGAGCCGCCTTCCCAGGAATCCGCTAATGAGCGGATTCGTCCTCAGTTTGACTGGCATGTGGATTGACCAATAAAATCTCATGAGGTAAGGCGCGGCGGGGTGCTTTCCGTCAGCGCGCTCTGATTGGACGGGGCGCGGCGGGTTGTGGCCGGCTGTGTCTTGGGGCCGGAACAGCTGCGCGCCTGCAGTAATAGGTACAGCGAGCCCTCGGCCGGGGACTCTGAGGGAGGAGCTGGGGACGGCGACCCTAGGAGAGGTAGGCGGCCCTCGGAGAGCTCTGCGGTGCTAGGAGAGCGGCTGGGCCCGCAGCCTGGGGGGAAAGCTCGGCAGCCGCAGTGGGCCCCAGGGTCAAGCCCCGCGTGGCCCGGAGAAGCCCAGTCTGGGCGGGAGCGGGAGCTGGACAGTGTGGCCTTGCGTTCGCTCCCGGGAGCGCTGCGAGTGTCGCGGCCTCGGGTGGATTTGTTGAGCACCAAGACCTCACGGTTGCCAATCTGAGGTTTCATCTCCCTTGGTTTTAATCCCCTGGGGCGGGTAGGAGCACAGGAGGAAGGATGGGCCAGCTGGGGGGAGTCCTGCTGTGAGCCAGCCATTCCCTGACTTCTTAAAATGAAACAGCTGATGCCGGTCCAGGCCCACCTAGACCGTCATCTTCAGCTGTTCTGTAAAACAGTTTGTATTTCTCGGTGTGCGTTGAAGCATGTGAGTTAATTCCGAACTTGCTGTTAAAGGATTAGTATACCTGATCACGAAATACGTATTTAGCAGCCACTGTAATAGTGAGCCCAGGGACGGCGCGGAGGCTCACGCCTTTAATCCGAGCGCTTTGGGAGATCGAGGCGGGTGGATCACCTTAGGTCAGGAGTTCGAGACTAGCCTGGCCAATATGGTGAAACCCCGTCTCTACTAAAAATACAAAAATTAGCCGAGCGTGGCGGCACATGCCTGTAATCTCAACCACTCGGGAGGCTGAGGCATGAGAATCGCTTGAACCTGGCAGGCGGAGGTTGCAGTGAGCTGATATCACACCATTGCACCCCAGCCTGGGTGACAGAGGGAGACTCCGTTTCAAAAAATAGCCCAAAACAGTCGTTGCTGCTGGGATGGAACTGACAGCCTGATGGGGGAGGCGCACATTAAACAAGCCATTAAGCACATGTGGAAATTATGAAGGGAAACACTTGAGGCTGTGAGACAGTAAAAGGGGGAGCCTTAGCAAGAAGGGGAAGGCTTTCTTAAATAAGTATCTTGGCCGGGCGCGGTGGCTCACCCCTGTAATCCCAGCATTTTGGGAGGCCGAGGCAGGCAGATCACCTGAGGTCAGAAGTTCGAGACCAGCCTGACCAACGTGGAGAAACCCCGTCTCTACTAAAAATACAGAATTAGCCAGGTGTGGTGGCACATGCCTGTATTCCCAGCTACTGGGGAAGCTGAGGCAAATCACTTGAAGCCGGGAGGCGGAGCTTGCAGTGAGCCGAGATTGCGAGCACCATTGCACTCCAGCTTGGGCAACAAGAGTGAAACTCGGTCTCCAAAAAAAAAAAAAAAAGTGTCTTTACATTTGTTGTTGTTTGAGGCAGGATCTCAACCTGTTACCTAGGCTGGAATGTTTTGGTGTGACCATAGCTCACTGCAGCTTCAAACTTCTGTGCTCAAGTGCTCAAGCGACCAAAACTCAGCCTCCCAGGTAGCTGGGTCTGCAGGTGCACACCACCACACCTGGCTAATTAAAAAAAAAAAAAAATTTTTTTTTGACCTCCCAGGCTCAGGTGTTCCGATGTTGCCCAGGCTGGTCTTGAATTCCTGGCCTCAAGCAATGCTCTTGCCTCAGCCTCCCAAATGCCTCAGCTGGGATTATAGGCATGAGCCACTGTGCCCCGGAAATAAGTTTCTTTGGAATTGATACATCAAAAGTGAGACGTTTACTAGGAAAAGGGAAAAGAGTGGGGCAGACAGCTTACCTGGCACATGAAGAGCATGTTAAAAGGTCCTGTGGCACCCCAGTGCAGTGGTTCATGCCTGTAGTGCCAGCACTTTGGGAGGCTGAGATGGGCCCATCGGTTGAGCTCATGAATTTGAGAGCAGCCTGTCTCTAAAAAAAAATTAACCAGTTCATGATGGTGAGCACCTGTCGTCCCAGCTCCTTGAGGGTCGGAGGTAGGAGGATCACCTGAGCCCAGGAGGCGGAGGTGGCAATGAGCTGTGGTTGTGCCACTGCCCTCCAGCCTGGGTGACAGAGACCTGTCTAAAAAAAAAAAAATGTCAAGACAGGTCTCGCTCTGTCACCCAGACTGGAGGGCAATGGCATGATCTCAGCTCGCTGCAGCCTCCACCTCCCAGGTTCAAGCAATTTTCCTGCCTCAGCCTCCCAAATAGCTAGGATTATAGGCGCCCACCACCACACCTGGCTAATTTTTTTATATTTTTGGTTTCACCATGTTTCACCATGTTGGCCAGGCTGTTCTCGAACTCCTGACTTCAGGTGATCTACCTGCCTTGGCCTCCCAAAGTTCTGGGATTACAGGCATGAGCCACTGCACCCGGGCGAAAATCTCTATCGCCCAGGCTGGAGTGCAGTGGCATCATCTCGGCTCGCTGTATCCTCTGCCTTCCAAGTTCGAGTGATTCTCCTGCCTCAGCTTCCCAAGTAGCTGGGATTACAGGTGTGTGCCACCACACCCCGCTAATTTTTTGTGTGTGTTTTTAGTAGAGACAGGGTTTCACCATGTTAGCCAGGATGGTCTCAATTTCCTGACCTTGTGATCCACCTGCCTTCGACCTCCCAAAGTACTGGGATTATAGGCGTGAGCCACCGTACCCGGCCTCAAAAATTTTTTTTAAATACAAAAAATTAGCTGGGTGTGGTCGCACATGCCTGTAGTCCCAGCTGCTCCGGAGGTTGAGGTGGGAGGAACACCTGAGCCTGGAAGGCCAAATGATTGCACCACTGCCTGCGCTTCAGCCTGGGTGACAGAGAGGGAGACCCTGTCTCAAAAAAAATTCCTGTGGAGTGGCTGGAGGCACAGTGTGATTTAAGGCACCCAAGACGTTTACAGCTCTTGTTATTAAGTGAAACCTGAGGTTCTGCCTTTGTGCTACCTCTGTATCCCATACAGCCTTCCAGTGAATAAATGAATGAGTTTATGTTGAATAAATATATTGAATTTATATTGAATAAATGGGGTAAATAAATGAATGTGGGGATACAGCTTTTAATAGTTCCAGCCTTCGTAGGCTCATAGTTGATATATTCACTCCTTTTACACAATACTGCAGTTAATTCTGTATATGATTGTCTTCCCAGGAAGGACATAGGCTGTCATTCAGTTTGATTCTTGGCACATAGTATGCATTCATTATGGTGAATGAGTAAGCAAAAATGGGAAATTCATGTGTCTTTTGAAAAGTAGCTGGAGTCAGGATCTCCTGTTCACTTTGTACATCTCTATTGTATCTTCCTCATAAGAAGAAAACTGGCTGGGCATGGTGGCTCATGCCATCCCAACTGGGAGGTTGAGGCCAGGAGTTCGAGACGAGCGTGGGCAGCATAGCAATGCACCATCTCTAACAAAAACAGAAATTAGCTGGGCATGGTAGCTCATGCCTGTAATCCTAGCACTTTGGGAGGCTGAGGCTGGCAGATAACCTGAAGTCAGGAGTTCGAGACCAGCCTGAGCAATGTGGTGAAACCCCGACTCTGTTAAAAATACAAATATTAGCTGGGTGTGGTGACATGTGCCTGTAATCCAAGTTGCCTGAGAGGCTGAGGCAGGAGGATTGCAGCAACTTGGGAGGTGGAGGCTGCAGTTAGCTGAGATTGTGCCATAACACTCCAGCCTGGGTGACAGAGTGAGACTCTGTCTCAAAAAAAATAAAAAAAAAAAATTAACTGGGCATGGTGGTTTTCAACTGTAGTCCCAGTTACTTGGGAGGCTGAGGCAAGAGGATCACTTGAGCCTAGGAGTTTAAGGCTACTTAAGTGATTGTCCCACTGCACTCCAGTCTGGACAGAACCAGAAAAAAAGAAAACTTTCAGCTAAACAACTTAAAAGTAATATCCACTCTGTTCCGTCAAGGTTTTCCTCTTTTTTTTTTTTTTTAAGATGGAGTCTCCCTTAGCCACCCAGGCTGGAGTGCAGTGGCGCAGTCTCGGCTCACTGCAACCACCGTCTCCCGGGTTCAAGCAATTCTCCCGTGTCAACCTCCTGAGTAGCTGGAATTACAGGCACTCACCATCATGCCTGACTAATTTTTGTATTTTGGTAGAGATGGGTTTTCACCATGTTGGCCAGGCTGGTCTTCAGCTCCTGATCCCAGGTAATCCACCAGCCTCGGCCTCCCAAAGTGCTGGGGTTACAGGCGTGAGCCACTGCACCCGGCGTAAGGTTTTCCATTTTACAGATTGCTTCCAAATACAGTATAGCTTTTGATCCTCACAACACCTCAGTTGAATAGGCAGGGTAAATACTGCTTTGTACAGAAAAGGAACTAAACTCAGGCAAAAGTGAATTAAGGTTACAGTTAGGTCAGGAATTCCAGAGACACTTTGATAATAATGTTAATACTGTGAATGAGATATGGTTCTCATTTTTCTAGACACAGCACTGTGTGGCACTGCAACACCATGCCAGTGATCAGCACTCTTACCAAAGCCTGTCACTTCTCCCCAGCCTGCCTCTCAGGGAAATTGTAGTATCTGTGAAAGAGCTGTTTTTGTTTTTGTTTTTGTTTTTTTTTGAGACAGAGTCTCGCTCTGTCACCCAGGCTGGAGTGCAGTGGCCAGATCTCGGCTCACTGCAAGCTCAGCCTCCTGGGTTTACGCCATTCTTCTGCCTCAGCCTCCCGAGTAGCTGGGACTACAGGGGCCCGCCACCTCGCCCGGCTAGTTTTTTTGTATTTTTCAGTAGAGACGGGGTTTCACCATGTTAGCCAGGATGGTCTCGATCTCCTGACCTCGTGATCTGCCCGTCTCAGCCTCCCAAAGTGCTGGGATTACAGGCTTGAGCCACCGCGCCCGGCCTGTTTTTTTGTTTTTTGACACAAGGTCTTGCTCTGTCGCCTGGGCTGGAGTGGAGTTGCATAATCACAGCTCACTACAGCCTCACTCTTCTGGGCTCAATCTTCCCACCTCAGCCTCCCAAGTATCTGGGACCACAGGTACGCACCACCATACCCGGCTAATTTTTTTACTATTTGTACTGACAAGGTCTGGCTATGTTGCCCAGGGTGGTCTCAAACTCCTGGGCTCAGGCAGTCCTCTCACCTTAGCCTCCCAAAGTGCTGGCATTACAGGTGTGAGCCACCACGCCCAACTCGTGAAAGGACTTTGAAGTCATAAAGTTGTTTCCGTCTCCACCAATTCCCTTGTTGTTTCACTTTCAGTAAGCTGTGCCTCCAAAGTGGGGCTACAACATCCCCACTCCCTAGTAATCTAATG